AACACTTGTGTATAAAGTTTTATATGTAAAGTTTGATTTTTTACTATGAAATGCGCATCATTTTTAATTTTTAAGGCATGACAGTTTTGGATTCACAAAATCTATACGTGTAACATTGAGTTGTCCCCCCCATTTATTTACTTACCCCTAGGTTATATCATTATGCTATTTTCTCTTTTCTGGCAGGTTCTCGAGCACAATGAATGAACAATGTAAAGATGTTTTGGCTCATAAGGTGGGTTAGCAATGATATTGCTCGTATATTTTTTCAGAAAACAAGCTTACTTCTTAAAACCTGCAATTTATTTTTAAGGTATGTGTATATTGTCTATAATATGCCTTTGTTTTTCATTGAGAATGATGTTTTACTAAACTAGAAGTTTTATATTTAGTAACGTAAAAAAATGTCTAATGAGTTTGAAATCAACTTTAAAATCTGTTACAATCCAACTATATACTACCCACATGATAAAAATAAAGTGGGGCGACTAAGTCAAAGATTAAAGATAAAATTAAGAATCAATTTAATATTACTACCAATCATCCTGAACTTTCTCTGAATGATTCTAGAGGTTTTATACATTATATGGAAGTGGAAAATAGGTTTCTTGAAAATTACAATCCGACAATGTTGGAAATGCAGATTTTATTATATATCTACCTCCCGGAAATTAATTTTTATGTGTATTTGCATCATGTAACTAAGTTTTTTTATTTGTATGTTGTTGCTTGTTCAGTGACATTTTTTTATATATCAATAAAGCTGAGCCATATAGGCAAATTTTAAGGTGTTATTCTGTAAAGTGCAGGCACTAATATATTACTTCATCTAAAAAGTTATGTGTTGAGATAATTTGCTTTATTGTATATTTTATTTCTGAAAAAATTCTCATCAATGTCTATATAATGCAATAAAATTCACAATCATTTGGCATTTTTCTTATCTCAATAAATCAAGTTCTGATTGCATGATTGATAATAACTTTATATAAAGTGCAGATATATAAATTTTCAATGAAGCTACATCGTAAAAAACCATATGACTGAAATTTGCCAAGGTAAAGCTTTATTAGGTTCTTAAAAGAAAATTATTGTTTTAATACTAACCCCAACTAACAATACTGTGCCAATATAATAGATTTTCATTCTAAGATGTAATGACGAATCTTGCATAATGATTCTAGCACATTTCTTCTTCCAACTGGTTCTGCAAGATCAAAACCAGCAGATGGTTTACTACTATTCCCTGGCCATCTAAAAATTGTAACTGATTGCTGTCGTGGGCAACCTGCACCAAGTTCATCCCAATATCTTTTATGGATTATAGCATGATAAAACGTAACGTAAGTTGAAATTACACGAACTACAAATATAATTACATCATGATTCTCTTGAGCTTGAAGTATATTTTCTTGCCCACTAGCAAGCATTTCAGCCAATATTTGTGGTTCCCCATAGTCATTGCCTGGCCTAACGTTAACTAGATGTTTATCCTATTAAAAGATCGTTTGAGTTAACAAAAATACGGATATATCAAGCAATCAAGAACATACAGACATCAACAATCAACACAGTATATCCTTTATAATTAATTATAAATTCGGCTTTTGCTGAAATAACTGCATTACTAACGAAAAATTTGAGTGTTGGATGTAATCTAAATTTGGATGTAATGCAATTTTTAAGGAATTATTAAAGTATATCGTAAACAAAAGATATTTCCATCAATACTCACTCAACCATCAAGGGCCATTGATTAAAGTCGACAGCAAGAAATATCAAATGAGCCACCAATGTATCAGTAATAGCTTCACTCGTTCCTATATCAATTCCTGAGTTCTCGACAACTTTGTGCAATTTGTAAATGAATGTTTTAACGTGATTATTTTGACTCAATTGGTCAATATCTAAGTCTCTTCTTTCTAGTGTAATACGGTTGATATTCAGTAGAATGTATTCTTGTGGAATGTTGACTAATATGAATTTAAGTCATAAGTATTGAATTTGCTAAAAGGAATGTTGTTGATACAACGTACCATTTCTATCAGGAATAACTTTCTTCGCTTCCGTAGCTGAGCGGAAATTCGCTTTCAATGAACGAGCATCTCGAAGAGTGAACAATGATGCAGAATTGCTGAGAAAGTTTGGGTCTTGTGTTATGATTTGTACTAAAAAAAGGATACAAATAGATTGTGACACAATTATCTCATCTCCAAGATCGCCAAATATTTGGCTTATTTTACACTTTGAGAGATCATCAAACTAAATGAGTTTGATTTCTTCCAAATGACTCATGCCTTATGAAGAAAGGATCTGGCGAACGGTCAGGGTAACGTAATTTTTTCTTCTAGCAGGTTTTCAGGTTTAGCAAATGAAACAATATAAATAAGCTGGATTTGTGCGGCATCATTTCTCATCTTCATGCAGTTTTTTATAAGGTAATGTGTCTGGCTTGTTGGTGTTCATTATCTATGAAAGCAAAATTTTACTCACTATGGGCCAACAATATTACTACCAATTGTCTTGTTATTCTTAATGGCCCACATAATCAACTTTCAATCAGTAGTTTTGTACTCACAATTACGATTTCCAGAGATGCAATGGTTTATGATCTCCAAACCGCAAGTTGACATCTCCATTTAATAATATTCCTCTTAATATCTGTCAAATTTATCATCCTGGAAGCGTAGATGAAAGACATATGCGATCACTGGCTCCAATCTCTGATTTTCTCAATAAGGATCCTCCTAGAAACATATATCACATTATTGCATACTCCCTACGTGAACCAGAGAATGAATAATTAGATTTTTATTTATTTTATATTCACATCATGTAATAGTGATATATTTTTTACGTCCTCTGGGGCCATATTTTTATTTTTATGTCTTTACTTCAGTAAAGTTTTTATTTCGTAAAATAAACAAGGTCTACATAACCATTTATATTCATTTGTGTTTTTATCTGAGATTAATCGGGGAAAATTGAAGCCATTTATTCATATTAATATAGATATGTCAAATAAGTCTCGCAAATCTAAAAATAACAGACGCAAAACTCAAGGAAGATTTACCAATAATCCTAAATAGTATATGCAATTTCAAAACTGAGATGCAAAGAAAATTACATAACTATCATAAATAAGAATACACAAGATGTGAAAACGATTTTTGATTATGCAGAACTATGCAGATATTTAGTGGTAAATAATCTCGATTCGGATATTCTCAATATGTGTAATAATTAATTGGTTTATTTTTTTTTTCAGATATTAATATATAGAATCTATGGTTGTACTATTCTCCTTTAGTCTTTCTGATATACATACCGATCCATGATACAACAAAGATAAATTTGTAATTAATATATTGCGTAAAAGTAATAAAGTTTCAACAAATTTAGTTACAATGCTCGCATCTGATAATTGTACAGGAATCTCGGCAGATTGTAGGTGGTAATATCAATTAACCTTAACCTTATCTCTGACAAGGACGTTCAGATTTATCTCATTTCCCGCTATTTGTACCCCAACAATACCAAACTGGTCTTTGTCAGTATTGACGCTTTCATGTACCAAATACATTCCGTCGTTAGTTTCTCACCATAGCTTTATCTCATCATCCATTTTTTTTTGAGAACTGCAAAATAGGCAAGAGCATTCAACGTACATAAGTTCAAAAATTCTATCAAGATATTTTACTACAAACATAATATCTGGTCATCTCCTGGTACATCCTTCTCCTTTTCTATTAGTGCTAGCGATACTTTGTTTCTCTGAGGTACTAATAAAAAAAGAGTTTCCCATAGGGGGATTTTTTAATAGAGCTCGAATTGCTAACACTATGACGGTAGATTGGTACATCCCCTCATTTAATGATTTTGCAAATTCAGGTTCGAATGTTGGGTTACTCCAAACGTCTTTCAACCCACTAAAAATTTCATTTACTATCTGCTTGATATCTTCTTCTCATTCCTTCCATCTACCATCATGCTTCAGTTTATCCCAACTTGTAATGTTCTCCCGGGTAATGAAATTTGATACAAATTCTCCACACATTTTTTTAACCATTGGTATGGGTTCGGGAGAGTAGGTCGCAGTATATATATACTGCGACCTACTTACGTTAGACTGTTACCTACATCAGGAAATATTTAATACATAAAAAATATGTAACTTTTTTATATTAAATTATATAAAATTCTATGTTATTT